CATTGGAAAAGAATGGCTTGTAGGGAAGAGTATGTAAAGATTTGAACATCTGTCATGTATTGTTTCTCAATATTCAAGAAAAATCTGCATTTAGAAAAGGGGCCAGGATGTTGTCAGGTAAGGGGCTTAACAATCCTGTCTGCAAAGTGCAGGATCACTGAGGTTTTTTGGGTTGGGTTGTTTCTTTGTTTGTTTGGGCAGTAAATCCTTTTAACAGTTTAATAAATATTTCTGAAAACCAACTATTTGTGCAAGACTCGTGTTGGGTTTTTTAGCAGAAAGTTACTATCATCTCTTCTTGAGGATGCAGCATACAAGTCTGCCTTCTTTCCCCTGGAAAAGGCTCATACAACTCCATGGAAATAAAGCCTCGAACAGGGTGAGGTTTAGGACAGGGCCATTCAAATGCTGACAAAAAAAAATACAGTTTAAAATACATTAACAAATGTTTAGGAGCAGTTTATGATGACAAAGAGTGCCACAGAGGCTTTCCTAGAAAGCCCTGTAAGCTCCTCAACAGAAGATGTGTGTATCCACACATCCTGGCTCTGAAAAAAGGAGATGCTTTGCCCTCGTTTCCTCCAATTCAGCTACAACCAGCAGCAAGCTCCGTTTCCAGAACAGGATTTAAACCAGGCACAGGCAGGGCTCCACGCAGAGGAGAGGACGGAGTGGGTGCCGCTGCAACCACAGTTAGCCATGACACTGTCCTTCAGCTGTGGTCCATGGACTGATCAGGAACGTGAGTTTTCTCACCTGCTCACTGCTCTATAGAGCACATTAATAAAAGGGATTCACGTCCTTCCATGGCGTAAAAAATGTGTTTCTTGTTATGTGCTTCTCTCTCACCTCCCAGAACTAGTTAAGGACACAGTATTACTAAAGCTCTCACCTGTCCGAGTGTCTTCAAGAAAATGAAGCCACTTCCCACGAGCTGCTGTTTTGGGGCACATTTTTCACAGAAGCGTGGTTTGCTGCTACACTGTTGCTATTTCTTCAACAAGTGACTATTTCATAAAGAGCATCCATCTCGCTAAATGAGTGTGGGCATCTGGCACAGAAATAATTAAATACGGCGCTCTCTGCTGGACCCTAATCCAGGCAGCCAGATGGGTATCCATTTCAGTGGGATGCCCGTGCATGCGGTACCTTTCTTACAGCATTCACCAGTTCAAAAATATTAATGCAAAAGTTTATTTTCTCTGAAGAACAACTGAACAAAACTGCATTAGCAACCAAACTAGAGAGAGGTGCTAGCACGTCAGAGTCACAGGCACAAGAGAGTAACATCACAGCTTGTTCTGGGAATGCTGCTCATAGCCCCAAGCTGAAGGCAACGTCCGCAACTGAAACATTGTGTGTGTAAGAGGAGATAAAATACTCCAGTGACAAGGCACTGTCACCTATCGATGCTTATCATCATCTCTTTGTTCCCTGCTTCGGTCTCTATCCCTGTCCTTTCTGTCTCTGTCCTTCCTCTCCCTCCCTCTGCTCCTCTCCTCTTTGGAGTCTCTCTCACTTTCACCCCAAGTCCATGACCTCTCCCTTTCTGGCCATCGCTTGTCCCTGCTCCTTTCATGGTCTCGGTCCCTTGTTCTCCAGTCCCTTGTTCCCTCACGAGACCAGTTTCTTTTCTCTGCGGATCCTTCTCCATAGAAGTCATTTTTCATGTTTGGCAAATTGATGGGCTTTCGAAAGGGCCTGTCCCGTCCTCCGAACCGCAGCTGCCCAGATTCTTTTTTCCCTCCAAAACCACCTCCAAGCCTCCGAGGAATCCATCCTTTGAGAGTTCTTTCCAGTTCAAAATCTACAAAGATCTCATGCTGATCGATAACCAGCCTGTTGGCGTCTCTGTGGGCCTTCAAGAGAGCACGCTCCTCTTTGTACTCAACAAATGCATAACCCTTAGAAAATCCCGTCACCAGGTCTCGAACCAGACGGATCTTCCTAATATCCCCATACCGGGAAAAGACCTCCTTTAACTTCTCTTCTGTTGTCTGGAGATTAAGCCTGGCCACAAACAGGGTGAGGCGAGGATCTCCGGTAACTCCCTTGTTGGGGACGTACCGTGCCAGCATAGCTCGCCATATGGCGCGGTCGTGGGGCTCTTCATCCGTTCCATCAATGCTCCCGGCTTTGAGGGGGTCGTACTCCTTTGCTATGGGGGCCCAGTCATTCATTGTCTAGTGGGGAAAAAAAACAGGCACCTCACAGGCTCACGGGTATTTCCGGGAGAAGAGCAGGCAGCGCGAGAAGCACGTTAAGCACTGCTGAACAGCATTCATCACCTAAAAATCCCCCAAACTGTGAAAAACGCAGAGAAACCAGCGCTGTGTTGGCAGAGCCCGCATCCGCCCCCGGCTGAGGGAACCCTGCAGCCCTACCTTGGCCTAACCCCCCCCGCGGCCTCGTCCCACCTGG